CATTCCAACAGTCAACGTAGGGAGTGAGCAGTCAAGAAAGCGCATGAAGGGTTGGATAGACCGCTGGCTTTCAGAAAGAAGACGGGCTGGATTGGTGATGCCACTCATTGAAGGTCAAGACGATGATATGGTGTCGGAGCAGGAACTCTGGGATGGCAAACCTGGTAAAGCCGGCGGAGCATTCTGGTGATCGACTATGATGTGAAGCGATTTGTGCATTATTCTCTTGAGCGGGAGTTCCATCTTATGACCGTTAATTTTTAGATACCATGCTGACCGATCAACGTCGTCAATCGTTTCATGACTCTCTGTTCTGTATAATGTTTAGATGGGAAAGGAGCATTTAGTCATCCGCATCAGAAGCAAACGCCTCATGAATTCTCTCTGGTGATCATCCCGGTTTCGACGTAATTATCATTCTTTCCGTTTACCACAATAGTAAGAGTCAACTCCGAAAAGGTTTATCTCGCCTCTCATCCATCGCCTTGAACAGCTCATTTCGCCTTGGCTTGCTGAGCTGCCGCTTCTGTAACACATGTGTTAGTATACCGTGTTGACTTTCTTTAAGAACGCAACTTACCCCTCCGTGTAGCATCCTCCAGCAGCTGTGTGTCAACTGACGCGCCGGGAAGATGAACGTATCTCACAACTGAGCCTCGGATAAAGACGTTCTTGACAGAGCTCTGTGATAATTTTAAGTCAGATATCAAGTTTCTTTTAAAACGCCTAGGACAAGGGTATAGTCGACATACAAGATGAGGGTACTTGAGCTCCTCAACAACCTGGATGTCATCGAGCTTGATGTTGAGGTACTGATCCACGCTCTTGAGAATTCCCTTTAGTTGAATGTCGTTCTTGAGCTCTACAGTGACCTCATTGTCGATGAGTGTCTTGAAAAAGCTGTATGAATAGCGTGTCAGTTTGCGAACAAGGGCGTTAACCACATAGAAGATAGTTCGATGGTACCTGAAAAAGAGCATGCTGTCGGTAGCTTTTTCGCGCTTGAGGCTTCACGCAAGATAAACCGACTATGTTTTGGGGTTCACGAGTGTTCTTCTTGTAGTTTCAATCGGTTTTGTTTCTCGAGCGAGTTTCTGTATCGAGGCAGGCGCTTAGATGTTTGTTTGGTGGTGCAAGATCTCCATCATGATAGCGTCTACAGTCAAGGCATCGTTGATTATGATCACGTGACTATTCATGATTCACCAGCAACTCACGAAATGATCTCGAATCAACAGCAATTCATCATTGGCTTCTATAATCTGTGACATTTTTACATGAACATCGCTTTAGTATTCATACATCTGCCCGGGTGAAGAGTCGTGCTCAGGTAGTTCTTATTGCCTTCTAAATAAAACCCGCTGGCCATGAACCAAGACTGACTGAAAGCCAAATCCACTCGCGCTGCAGGTAAGACTTGTAAATAACCATACGTCTTTGTAGACCTAAAATCCTCGCTTGAATCTTTTGGGGGCTTCTCGTATCCTCTTCTTAGCAACAAATGTCCGACCCTCCTCGCACGATTTCCCTCCCTTGCCTTCCATAAGCAAAAGCCTCCATGTACAACCACGCTATGTATATCAATAGTGTATGGGTCCTATCATTCCAACGCCTTGCAAGACTGGGAAATGCCGATTCGTTTTCTTTCGTGATTCGTGAGATTGAGCTTGTAGTCTACGCTACATAGCGATACAAAGTTGGCGCGTCATCTTCATCAGGGCGCTCAAGATATTCCCTTGCGATGAGATCCTCAATACGCTTCTTGATGAGGGCGACCTCGGGACGGAAACTGCCGGAGAGTTGTGACAGAACTTCACTAGTGAGCTGCGAGTGAGAAAGCTCCTTTCGAGATCTACAAGAGTTAGTAACCAAAGCTGGCAGTAAGATTTAGACTTGGAACCTACTTCATGATTCGTACAATTGCCGCATCGACAACGTGAGCTCTGGTTTGGTTGTTCTTCTCCTCAGTGTTCTTTCGTTCCGTATTATCTTCGACTTTGGAGACCGCGTTGATGATGGGTGCTTTGATTCGTATGGTCTTGCTCTGGAAAGATGCATTGAAAGAAAACTTATCGCCTGCTTTTACGGACTTGTTGGCAGGATCCTTCATCAACACGCGAGATTTGGGTGCCACAGCAATAGCTGTCAGCGTCCTCATGAGATCTGGAGTTGAGATATTGGTCTTAGCTTGGATCTCTTCGAAGGTTAATGACTGGCCCTCCTCGAGGTCGTTGAAGAGAAGCAAGACGACCATCGCAAAGGTTGGTACGTTGATCTCGTATCTTCGCTCCCGAGAGAGCGGGCCGGACTTTCCAGGGATGGCCGGAAAGGTACATTTGACATCTGAACTGCCAGTGGTACCAATCCAGGTGAGCTTGCGTCCATTACGGTTAGTTAGATAGTACTGCTCAAAGCTCGCCTGCAATCGTCGCAGCTCAGGGGGATATGTGCACGTAACACGAGATCCTTCGCCAATCTGCGTAGTCCGGCCCATAACCTCGGGCGGCCAGTAATTTGTAGTGAGAACGTTGATGTTAAGGTCGATGGTTTTGCCGCTGCCATCTCCCAGGTCACGAATGTGGTCACGGTAGCCGCTGGTCAGCTCTGTTGACGTGACAAGATCTCTGAACATGCCTTCAAACTTGCTGGTGAACTGTTGGCCGAGTTCTTGTTTCATTCGGGAAATGATCTGCTTTTCAACATCATGGCTTTCGGACTTTCCGTGAAGCAGGCGTCTTGCCAGATGTCTCTGGTAATATGTCTGGAACAAATCTCTATCCTGGAGGTATCGAATCAGGACGATAGCTTTCTCTAGAACGACATCGACTTCTGCCTCTGTCTTGCCTTTGATGCCTCTCTTTAGGTTGTCATCGATAAACAGAGAGACATATTCAGAACTGCGGCTGAACATGTTGATAAAATCAGAGAAGCTCTTTGTCAATGCGCTTTGGATAATAAGATCTCCTTGGAAGCAACGAGCCCAGAGGTTATCGAACTTGTCCTTCAGACGGAGTACATCGTCTACCCATTTGATCGCAGCAGCTGTCTGCTGCGCCGCAGGATTTAAGATCTTTGTCTTTTCGCCTTCACCGGCCTCGTCTCCCTCGCCATGACCAGACGAGAAATCAGTGTTCTTCAGTACCTTCTCAATCTCCAGGCCTAGCTCAACCACGCGACTTTGTAAAATGTCTCGCAGAGCAGTCTTCTTGGAATCGACCCTGGAGATGAGTTTGTAGAGAATCGAGAGGTCATCAATCTTGTCATTGTCAATCATCCATTTCAGGCCGCTCCCTTCAAGAGCCGAAAATTCGGACAGGTGCTTGACTATGAGTTCTTGATCAATAGTTTGCGTGACTTTGGGTAATGTCTCTAACTCGATTGTTGTTCCGCATCGATCGATTTCTTCGTTCAGTCGCAGTTGGGTGTGCCGCAACCAAGCTCCGGCATCCGATTCGCGTAGAAGTTTCTCACACTCGGCGGCATAGTATGTCTTACTGTTCTCGAGGAAGCGAGGTTCGAATACTGTCATGTACAGTTTATCGTTTTCCTTCTCTTCTTCGGTTTCGTAGAGGCTGCTGAGCATTCGACTGCAGCTTCGAATGAGATTTCTGTCGATGATATCTCCTTCGCGCTCCATATCGATCTGGTCGAGGACCACTGATATAAGGATGTCGATCACCTTGCTCTTTGTGTTCGTGTTCAGCGAAGACCGTAGAATATGATCACGGAAAAGCGCGATGGTGGTGGCGAAGATGGGGGTTCGTTGGCCCTCGAGCTGCGCGTAGCCCCTGTCAAGATACATGAGAATATCGGCGGTCATGTTCATTGACATGTTGTGATCTTCCCAAGTATCACGCAGCCCTTTGAGAAACCTCTCTCCTGTCTGCCGCCTCTCATTGACGGACGTCGTCGAGGTTCGTTCGGCGCCAATGTTGATCAGGCTCTTGCTGACGAGTTCTCGAATCTTGGGAATAACATGATCTGCGAACCACTGTTCCTCGAAAGCTTTGACCCTATCGTAAAGCAATTCGCCTTTCTTCTTGAGAACCATCTTGTACGCGGCTCGGTACAGCTCCTCGAATGACAGTCGGCTGCAGTTCTTCATGTGAATGTCGCGCAGGGCTTCATCTAGCATCTTCCAGCAAGCCTCGAACTCGGAACCTTCGGCAGCTTCATTTGGCTAAAGGCAAGGTATTAATTCAGGATTTAGATACTAACGTTTCAGTACATCGAACTTACACGCACAATGCGACGAGGAGGACGAATCCTTCCCCGAGCGCCGGCTCCTCCACGTCCCGAGATCATACTTTATGGCAATATAGTTGGCGATATCGCCCCAGGTGAAAGTTCAGGTGTCGCAGGGTTTTTATATTTCGTAGGGGAGGATGGAGCCCTCTTGCGTTTTTCGCGTTGATCCTGAGTCCTGAATATGGTGGGGTAATGATGGATGCAAGTTGTAGCCTCCAGGCGGGGCCGCAGTGAATGGCGAAATCGGCGAATGAATAACGGAACGAAGAGGCAAAGACTACCTACCTTAAGTAGGCACCTTAAGTTGAAGAAGGGTTTAGGCGACGAGCCCCCGGGCGCTCGGCAGAGAGAAGGCAAAGAAAAAGACGGAATCCCCGGGGCACTGGTAAGGCATGCTTTGAAAGATGGCAAGCTCAAGTTGGCGAGGCTACAATTTATGGTTTCCGCATCCATGGCTACCTACAATTAGGTTGTTAGTTCAACCCCAGGCGCCGTTATCGATAAGCTGCACCAATGATGCAACTTGTGTGGGGAATTGACACCGAGCTTCGCAGCACGAAGTCACGTGGGGATAATGCCTGCAGCTCCGACCCTCGATTTTTCCGACCGACAATTCAGGCGGCCTTACTCGATAGCCAGCCTCTCAGCCTCACGCCAAATCGATCCTACAACGACGCGCCTTAAAACGGCCTGCTTCCACCCCGAACAATTATACAGCAGTTTAAGCGCCCAAGCTCTCTCAAATAGCCAACATGAAGCTGGTTCGGTAAGAACTCCCCCTGTCTCTTGCGCACACCTGGATTGTGCTGAGCTTCTCGTTAAGTTTGAGCTTCTGGACTGACTTGCCACGACTAGTTTTCTTATGAAATGCGCCAACGAAACGGTGACAATCGAGTTGAAAAATGGTAATATATTGCTCCTTACCCCTATGCAAGCTTCTAGCCATGCACTCAGCCGTGTACTAATTGTCGTCTAGGAACCATTGTTCACGGCACCATTTCCTCAGTCTCCCCTCAGATGAACACCGCCCTCCGAACCGTCAAGATGACCATCAAGGGGCAGGAGCCTATCTCTCTAGAGACGATGAATATCCGAGGTTCTACAATCCGATATTTCATCCTGCCCGACTCCCTACCCCTCGATACACTGTTGATCGACGACGCCCCTAAGCCGAAGAACAAGGCCAGAAAGGAGGCAGAGCGGGGTGGGCGAGGAGGTCGGGGCAGAGGCGGTCCCAGGGGACGCGGACGTGGTGGAGGCCGCGGTCGCGGAGGACGGCCCTAAACGAGAAGGACATGAGAAGATTCAGGAGAAATGACAATATGGGGAAAGGATGGAGGCGCACATGCGCATCGTTAATGTGGAGTGGCCACGTTATCGCGAAGATATCACATTCAAATGGAACCTGGCGTTCGGGTTGTTTGGCCATTAAAACTATATGAACCCGCGTGGGGTGGGTATCGCTTTTCTTGTTCTGGAAAGATATCTGAATATATGCTCTCTCATACCCCAATTCCACCGCAACTTTTTTTTTTATTCTACGACTTTTGAATAGTCTCGCCATATCCGTACGATCTGCAGCTTCTCCCATCCGGCCTGTTTGCCGCTGTTCCCAACAGTTTGAGCCCGCCATTCAGGCCCAAATCCCTCAATGCGACTCTTGACTCGATCTGGCTTGTTCTGAGCGCAGAGGAGGAGGTAGGCACAGCCGCGTCGGGACAGGGTTTGGGGTAGTGCCTCGATCAGTCTATCTGTTGTCTCCATACCATCTAAGCCGCCTGCATAAGATAGGGCCAGCAGATACGAATCGTCGTCAAACGAAGGCTTGGTGCTGACTGCGAGGTCGTCTGCGGTAAACGAGTCTGGTCTGGCGGGCATCTCAGGCGTGGGCACATATGGCGGGTTGAAGATGAGGACGTCGATGGTGCCCTCGCGCCATGGAGTTGTGAGATCTCCCATACATGAGCCCAGATAAAATGCATGTGAGTCGGGGTTGTCACAGGCTGCCTTTGCAACTGTCCCGACTGTAGCCCGACATGCAAAGGCGTTCATGTCAACTCCCGCAGTCAGGACCTCACGTGTGCCAAAAAGCTTTTGCGCATGTGCGTGGACAAAGGCGAGGACGACGCCCGAGCCTGTGCCGACCTCCACCACGAGAGGCGCTATGTCGGGAAACGCTTTTTGGAGATACTCGGTCTCTGCAGCAGATGAGAGCGTGTCCAAGAGGAGGTATGAGTCCTCGGCAGGTTCGTAGACTCGCTCATATGGGACGTGCGAAGTGTCTGGTGTTGGTAGCATGATGTATGCTTGTCAATGTGAGAATGCGATGTGATTGTGGTGAGGCTTCATTGATATTTAGATCATAGATAGAAAACTTGTGATGACACTGAGTGGATGCGGCACGTGATGTATGCTTAGAATCAAGTAATTGAGACTAAATAGCTGATAGAAACAGAAGACGGATAAAGAGCTGTTGTTGGTGGATCGCAAATCTCTGGTTCATAGCAGTGGTAACGTGCTCAGTTTCGAACTGATCGCCTTTTGTTGTGTTGGATACGAACATATCCGCTTCATTTGAATCAGTATGGATGGCTAGGTAGTTTGGGGATGCATGAACCAGGCAGACAGGAACCTACAATTGTTGCTGGAGAGATTCCCTGATCCAACCGGTATACACCTCCAGGGTCCGAAGCTCGTGCAAAAATCTGTCGCAACGATCGCCTCAAAGAATCGCACACTTCATCTCGCAACCCCAATCATCCTGTCCAGGTCCAACTCCCCATTTGATTCCCCAGCCCATATCCTCCACCATCCGAACCAGATTACGATCGTATACACCATGCAGCTGGCATCGAGGACATGGTCGACTCTTTGTATTATAGAATTTTGGTGGTTCCTTGGCTGTACCATCGCAGAAGGTCGGGCAATTGTTGAGACCCATGAATGGCTCGCAGGGCTCCGTGAGGACAAGCCAGGTGTGTTTGCATTCTTTGTGCTGGAAATATGTGAGAGTGCACATTCTCAGATGTCCAGGAAATCAATTCCCAGGAAAATATGTGTTAGAATTATTGCTGAGGGACAAAGACGAAAAACAAGTTCTATTCGCAAGGTAGAAAAGGAAGGTTGGTTGGCTGGACTATGTGGTGACAGGGAATGGATGTTTCCAACAGTGCCAGTTAATCAGTGCTATAACAAAAGGCCACCAGAATAATATTGTATCGCAACGCTCTTCCCTGGCTCTCTGCGTGTGCAATTCTGTTTATACTCATACCCAAACACCATGCAACCATCATGAATCACGATCCGCTAAACCTCTAAATGACGACTCGGCAGTATTGTCCCCCCTAAGTGTCCCGCTTTGCTCCAGCTCATCATCGCTGATGGCGTCCTCGACAGATGGAACTAGGCGAGATAGCATCGTTTCCATGCGCCGTATCGCCTTTTCCATATTGGCCAGTCTATCTGTAGTTCCCTCAAACATGTCATTCTCGGAGAAAGATCCTCGAAGCTTCTGGGGTGGGATCCCAGGAAACATAGAATCTCGTCGTGATGGACGTCGAGCGCCGGGATCGGGCCTAGAGGTGTTATGTAGGTTGCGGGGCTCTATATCATTTGTCGCATTGCGTGTAAACTGTCGACGGATGAGATGATGCGTGAGATCGTCATCGACAGCGATGTCGTCGTGGACAGTATCAGGCGGCGGCACTTGAAAGACGGCGCGAAGATCTCGGTGAACCGTCAACCGCCACTTCTTCCAAAACTGGCTCTTTGTTGGGGGTGGAGCTTTGATCTCCGTCGGGTCTTCGATCTCACGGGAGGGCCAGAGCAGACGGCGCTCAGCAACAGCGATGATGAGCAGGAGAGGGAGATTCAGAATCTTGACCGCCGTGACGTGGATCTTGTGGAACCAGCGCGGACTCACGACGAATTTAAGCGGGATGAATAGGAATACGGCGAGGATGTTGAACGGGGGCTGGTATGCGAACACAGCGTCAGCCTTGACGCCCTCAAGTGTTAGAACTGCTCGACGGAAACTGATCTCCGCTATGGCGTTTGACGAAATATTACTGAATGTATTGGAGAGCATCGATACAAGGATGGTAAGGAAAAGTGTGTTTCCGAGGAAAGCGAAGGCTACCATCACACTAGGTCCTAGCAGCCAGTGAAACTCGGTCTAGTAGAGATGTCAGGATTTGTTAAGCGTAGGGGGGGGAGATGAAGACTGACCGATCGATGGATACCTGTTCCATCCAATCCAAACCAAATATAGATCATCCACTTCGATATTGTTCTGATGTATATTAATACCACGTTTCACCGAGGTGGTGCAGAAACCTACAGGATGGGGTGTGCCCCCTCGCCGAGCCACAGAAGTGAAAGCAGAAACCCCAAGAAACACCAGGCAGATAGAGCTGTGAGGAAGAAAAAGTCCGCCATCATTGACCTAAGGGACAAGAACACGAGATTGTCGCTCAGGAGATTAAAAGCAAGCCGTGGAACCAGGACAGGAGCGGCGAGTGCAAGCACATCAAACGCCTGTTCGTCAAGGTTCGCGTCACCATGCTTCCAGCCCAGGAACCGCAATACAAGATATACCCAGTAGATGAGAACAAAGGCCACATCAAGGAATGACCACAGGTTCTGGGTATAGACGTTCCTTTCGCAAGGTTAGTACTCGAGTGAAAACACGACAAGCAAGTCCGTAGCATACCAACCATGTGCTAAAATAGTAGCAAATTGATCCAACCCCCATCCAAAAGCAAAGATAGAAAAGGCTGCTTCTGTTGGTCCATAGCGGCTTTTCCTTCTAAGAACCATAACCGCAACGTAGAGGGTGAGCAGTGTGGCGAATTGGATTGACTCCAGGACATTTCTGGTTCGAGGGACAATCAGGCGATATTGATTGAGAAGAGGGGACTCGCGAGGATCATAAATAGATATGGGCTTCAACTTGTAATGATCGGGGATAATGTCCCAAAATGTCGAGGGGGTATAGACAATTCGGCCCTCGTATATGGCGTTGACGACCTTTTGACAAGTCGCTGAACTCAAGAAATGTTTGCTCTCAGTGACAATGGCAACCTCAAGAGATGGCAGAGTCTTGTAATCAACCCAGGAGGTGGTGCGCTCTGCCTCATCTCGAATCTCTTCTGGGGCATTCTGGAAGGGTTCAAAGCCAGCGACTAGAATATGAGCCAGAAGCAAAAGGCCGTCGTGGCCATCATCATGCACTTCACCAAAGCGTCTCAGGATGCGCGTAGCTATGAGCTCACATAGAGTAGCACGTGTGAAGTTGACATTGTGACGGTTATTGAGATGAGACTGCTCTTCGAGAAACTGAGCTCGATTAACCAGCAAACAGTAGACTATCAGATCATAACCATATCAGTAAAGGGTCCTCATAAGGGGTCAACAGCACTTCTCTTACTGATAGAAATGTCGTTGAGGCCATAGAACTTATCAACCAACGGCCGCACAACTGTAACATTAATCCTCAGATCCTGCAGCTGGGCGAGGCTCAAATAGTCCTCAACAACGCTGATGATGTCGCGACGAATACGGTGTATGTTGGTATACACAGGCAAGTGACTATGAGGGTCTGTCATGCAACTATACAGGGCATCGCGGTTCTCTGGGCCGCCTGTACTGAGCCTACTCAGTAAAGGCCGTCGCTCTTCAGGATCCGGCAACGTGATGCGCCGGCGGGTGTTGCCAGCCATGAAAGGGCCAGTCAGTTAGTCATATAGTGGTAATATCCAAGGGAGGGACAAGGTCAGAACAAAGAGGATAGAACTGCAGTTATCGTGTTGTCGGTGATGGTTGAAATCAAGTTTGACCCTTTTCGGTGTAGCGAGCGATAAGATAGGATGGATGGATTGGATGCTTTGAAGCGCCCCAGGTGTCGCGTAAAGGCGCTATTGGATAGATACAATGAGAGGGAACAAAAGTAATTGAGCAATGCCGCTGGTGATATCAGCATTTGAAATATCCATAGGTATATCCTCAATTTTAGGTTGTGAGGGAGGAATTGTTCACAGAAGTGTAACGTCATTACACTAGACGCCTGTCCCATTAGAGCGTTTCGGATTTGAATCTTGGGGGGTGTTGCTTCTAAAGCATATGGATCACTGATTGGATCATACCAGCAGTGGGATGTTAATGCCTTGATCATTTCTCTGACGGAAACAAATGGAAGTGAGGTCTTTACAGACTGGTAGTGACTTGTTTAGCAATCCGTCTCTTTTCTTTTCTTTATTTTATCTGACATCTTTGCAAATTTGCTAATACTACCTACCTGTTATCCACTTGAGCTTGTTCTTAGACTGTCTGAAGCCTAACTTAGATCTGCACACGCGTGGAACACCAATCTCAGACATTCCGTGCATTACAACAATGCAAATCCTACAGTTTCGTCCCAGTCTCATCCGCGCCAGCCTCTTTAGCCAATGCCCAAGCGAACTTTGCCAAAGATCCTCTCGTCACAGCGTGATGTTTCGCTTTCTCGCTACTCGCCTGTCTGAGCGCATATCGCGCCGCAATTCCTTGACAAACCCCAGCCAGCTTCCAGATGCTGAACGACATTCCCCATGGAACCTCAGCCCGGGGATCGTATCCACTCTCCTCCCTGTACCACTCCAGGATCTCGTCTGGTTGTGGAAGACCAGGCGTCTTGCCAGGCAGGAATCCGGATGCGTCATAAGGAGTCGCACCGGGCGATTTGGCCGAGTAGAAGTTTATAAGAAAGTTGCAAATGTCGGAGAGCGGGTGGCCGACAGTAGACATCTCCCAACTGTAGAATATGTGTTAGTAATTGGCTTGCAGTCTGGGAAGGTGAGCATACTCCAAGATTCCGATGACCCTTGGTTCAGTCTTGTGAAATACCAAATTGTCAATCTTATAATCTCCGTGTACCAGTGTTGCCCGGTCCTTGGGTTGCAGACGCTCGTTCTTGAAGAAGCGGACCGTTTCCTCAAAGTGAGGGAGCTTTCCAACAGGCTCCTTGGTCTCAATGTCGACGACCTTCTCCTGGCTACCACAGATAGTTACCCACGTCTTGATCTGTCGTGAATAGAAACCCGATGGTTTGCCAAACTTCTCTAGGCCGACCTTCTTGTAGTCAATTGCGTGGAACCGTGCCAATGTTATCACGGCATCGCGCCACATAGCCTCACGATCGGCGGGCTGTACGCCTGGCATGGTAAAGTCTTCAAAGATACGTCCATCAAGAAACTCCATGATATAGAAGGGTGTGCCAATAACAGAGTCATCCTCGCATAGACAGTACGTTTTGGGTACAGCAACATCAGTGTTCTCCAAAGCATGCATGATGCGGTATTCGCGCTCTACTTGGTGTGCTGTCTTGGAAAGGAGCTTTCCAGGTGGCTTCTTGCGCATCACAAAGCGCTGGCCATCTGAAGCAGTAATCTGGTACGTAGGATTGGATTGACCGAAACCAAACTGTGCAACATCAGCAGCCATCACACTGAGAAGAGTACGAGCAGAGAGCTCACCTGTTTGAGGTCAATCGGTGTTTTGATGGTTGGGACATGCTCAGAAATGTATTTCTCAAGCGCAGCCTCATCGATGGGCTGTCGAATTCTACCAGCCATCCTAAGGACAGTTATATGCCTATTTTATCAGATGAGTGGATGGATGATCGACGGTCGATTTGCTGGTTCAGGGTCACGAGACAGAAGTCGGAGGGTTACAAAAGATGAATTGAAAAATGGTTTGGCGAAGCTACGGTTAATAAATGATAATTGCAAGGTCAAGAGTTAGGTAGTTATTGTACCCCGGATGTGAGAACTGACTCGATGAGCTTAGACTACGGTCGGTACCTTGAACATTTGGGCCCTTGCTAGTTACTAAAGATGCCGAGGTTCAGATCTGGGGGATTACAGCAGTACAGACAGACAGACCTTTACGGATAGTGGCCCCCTCTTCCCCAAGCTCTCTCCACAATCCTAGGTCCGTTCGGTTCCTCGGTTCATCTGACGTGCCTAGGTAGGTCAATATTGGTTCGACGCCTAGGTATCTCTCTCTAGGTATCTTGTTTGTAATCAATCAGTGTTTCGTGCTTCAAGGCAAGCCAGATCACAATTCACATATAGTTATGCATTTAACAATCCAAGTTTTCATTATAAAGCTCAAGGCCCGTTGTTCATTATCACTGTTCAAGGCCTGAGGCCTACCTACTAGCTATGATCATCCTGCCACCACTCTCATGCCTTGGAGAAGAATATCCATCTCATTAACAGACTACTGGCATGCACATATAATCAGGGTTTTGCGCAACGGGCTCCCACCACGGACCAGCCGAAGCAGAATACCGCCGTTCAAGAAACATGCATACGGTATATAAAAGAATAGTCCTTCCTGCTCGCTGATTTCCGCCTCACCCATCCATCCATATCCGCCCCACTACCACAACGCAAGACATGAAGGAATCATCATGCCAAAAGGAAACAGACAAATGAAAATTAACAAAAGAAACCATGGTGACAAGCCCTCCAAGTAGCTTCCGGGTCCAAGGTGAAGAGAACAGAATATTCCGTGGTATCAGTATCCATAACGCCAAGCCCTCCGTCTGATGCGGTCGTAGTACATGGATCAATATGTGTCGAGATGTTTGTGGCTGAAAGTCGTATTGTCATTATAGATCATTTACCAGCCCTTCTTCCTTGCGAAGCGTTTGTTCAACAATGCCAGCACCTTTGGCACGTTAAACTGGACATATTCCAGGTCAAGGTCATCCTGATTGTCCTTTTGCATCTCAAGCAGATCATCAAGCTTGAGATCCAATTCAAGTAGACCCCTATTGCGACCTTAATTCAGGTTAGCATGCTAGAGTGGCAGGAGAATGACATAGCTTACCCTTATAATGCAATGAAATGACGAATGTTCCAGGTAGTGGGCTGGTAAAGTTGAAGTAGATGTTGGCCCGTCTGTTGTCGGGAACATTGCTCTTCTGGATGACGCCCTCCTTCTCAAGCTGCTGGTGTGTGAACTTGTACGGACCAAGGACTTGCTGCTTCTGCTGCTTTCTCTTAGTACCCTCGCTCTGTGATCGAACGTTGTGCAGGTAGCTTTTGTAGGTCTCGAGTTGTCCGTTGAGATAGACATTATGATCACGGATCGTCTTGTAAACTTCTTGCAGCTTCTGGGTCTCGGTGATAACACCCTCTTTGAGTGATCCGAGGTGCTGAAGCTCCTGCTCAACTTCGTCCCGGAGTAGGCTGAATTGATCGGCCTTGTCAATAACGCGCAGTTCCTGAAGCTGGGATAAAAGTTCCATGGCCCGGATACCTTTGCGAACCATTACTGCGTCACTGCGATTGGTAGCTGCGGCATCAGCAATGCGTTCTAGTCGCAATGGTCTTCTGGCTACCCCGCTAGTTGCTGGGATCGACCGCATGACTTGTACGAAAATCGACTTGGCTTCCATGAAATAAACCTCCTCCTGCGTGATATCCAATGCTGCTGTCAGATCGCCGATAGCTGACTCCCATCTACTGAATAAAGGCAAGTTGATGACTCTGTTCTCTTTTCGTGGCAACTGAGGGGGTGATGATCCCAATTCCGACATAATGATAGCAAGATGCGAATTGTCATCCTTGCACAGCTCGTCATGATGCTTGTCAAGTAACGAGTGCATGGCGTAGACTTCGTTGAGAGTAATCTCAAGTTCAAGATCCTTCTTTGATAGGGCAACATAATTATCCATCTCGAGGCTCTCATAGAAATCCTGGACCTCACAAAGATCGAGCATAAACTTATTGATTCTATCCTTGTTCTGATGAATGAACGGCTGGAGCTTAGCCATGTACGGCTCCTTGGCGTAGGACGGCTTGTTCGCGAGGTTCTGAAGCATCTTGGCGATATATGTTAGAGTTCGTCTGGGTCGTTCGGCCGGGGTTCCGTCGATAAGCATGTAAGATTTCGGGGTAACGATCGCAGGGTTAATGAAGCGCAAAAAAAAGAATCCACCGATCAATGTACAAATGACCTGGTCATTAGCATCTGGGTATTTGCGCTTGGTTAAGCTCCTGATTTGTTTGCAAATCCATCGGATACCATAAGGCGCTTCCTCAAGGCCCTCAATAATCGTGGTCAAGAAGCCATTAGCAATCTCGGTCAACATGGTCAAGCGGGGCTCAATGATGGCCTGAACCTGAGGGTTCTCAGCGGCTTGTTCGCCAGTGATTCCCTTAGGAAGATGGGGAGGCAGTTGGCCAGTATCCTCTTCGATCTGTTCAATCATTCGCTCGTAGACCTTGAGCGGGTTGATTTCCAGGTCAAGATCTTTCAGCTCGATCAAGCCATTGATTCTATCAGCAAGCACGGATTTGAGGAAACTCTGACCAGGACCTCTTCGGGTGTATGTAGTCATCATTCGAGAGACGGGAGTGTTAGCGCGGAGCAAGGACGAATAGTCTGGCGTGTTGTCGAACTGATATGTCAAGACGGACTAGAGCGTGTGAGATGTGTATCTCTTTCAAAGCGTGGAAAGCTTACCTGGAACATAGTGAGCAAGAGATGCTCTTCTCGACTTTCATATTGATTTCCATAGATAGTGAACATGACAGTCTGGAGCAGTGAATCAATCTCGGACATCGAGACAAGTCGGCAGAGATGTGCAATGTGCCTAGGCTCAGATTGGAGCAGAAACAAAAGGTTTCCGTATTTCTGAGTTTTATCGTCGTTAGGGAAGACACCCTGCTGCATTTCAAGAGCATCTTCGAGATGACTGGCAACTTCGTTTTGCTACAACGCGAATCAGAACTCGGTTCATTTCGACCTTGATTGGGCACGTACCTCTTCCAGGGCCATACGGTTTTGAATAAGCAACGCGATTCGTGAATCTAGATAGCGCACATCCTTTTCCAAAACGAAGTTCTTCTTTGACTGTGATGAGATCTTAGACTTGAGATCACGCAGCGCCTTTTGTGCTGGAGTGGGGTCAGTCGGTTATCCTCTTGAAATGTGCATGTAGGCCTACCTTTGGCAAGCTCATCTTCAATCTGTAGATCTCCCTCATTGGCAGAGATCGACATGTAGAGAGCTGACATCGAGTAGCGCTTCGACTGGCGCGCAGAGCGCGAGCCGTCGTAAGAAGACATGGTATTTTGGCGGGATATGGGCTGGAAAGAGGAGGAGGAGGCGGTAGAAGCTCGAGATGGTGTTTGTAACATGATGGACATAGTGTGTTTGCTGCAATTTTATGACAACGATGGTTCAGGCTCGTATGCCTCTGACCCAGACAACAAGCAGCAATTGCACAGGTGCCGAGCCAAAGAGCAGCGAGTCAGGTTATCCCAATTATGATGAGTCGAAGTCAAGGGTGGCAGCGAAAGCAACGACCAGTTCGAGGTGACTGACAAGCAGTGAGGCGTAGACGGCGTTCAACGGTTTTCGCGGTACAAAAGCGGGAAGTCGCAAAATAATGAAGATTGTATCAACGGAGGTATCGACGATGGTTATGAGGCGAGCACGGCGGTTGGAGGCGCGCAACGGGAATTCTTTCGCTCAGAAAACAAAGGGCAAGAAACAAGCGAAGATGGACAGATGGGAAGTGCCAACGATAGCTCAATGGGAGCGTCAGTGTGTCGCGATGCGAAATTCTGAAAATCCTCGATCTCGCGAGGAGCGCAGGAGGCGTTCAAGGAAGAAAGAAGTGCAAAAGGAACAACAAAACGGCGACAGGTTGATGGTGATAGCGAAAGTGGAGGAGCGGTGGTGTTGGTGGTGGACAAGGCAGAGGCAGAGGCAGGAAGGGGAAGGGGGGCCGTGGGTGATGGAATTGTACAGGCAAGGCAACCAAAAGCGAAGTACCTGAGCTAAAAGGGTACTTGAAGCAGAGTAGTTTAGATAGTGGACTGCAAGGTACCAGACATGGATCCTGGTGTATTTCCGGGCAGATTTATGCACGGCTGAGACGCGGACTTCAGGAGGGAGAGACGGCGCGTGGGACGGTCGGTGGATCGTTGGCGTTCGACGCTGCAGGGTCGTGCGTGCGTTGTGGGCTTGCACTTGTTTGTGTGTGTGGAGAGAATAGGAGGAATTAAAGCGAGCGCGAAACAAGCGGCACGATGAATGAAAGGATAATGAACTGCGTTTGACAAGGGAAATGATCGACGCTGAAGAAGAACTGGAAGAGCGGAAGAAGATATCCAGAAGAAAAGTGACATGAACCTGATAGGTTTGTGTTGTGTGACTCTAGAGAACCTGCATGCCAATGTACTCCGTACTGTACGTCCGAATGGAAAAGGAGGCCAAAGAGAAGAAAGGTAATAAGGTAGGAATCAGGGGCAACTAATGTCATGGAAGGCAGGCAAGAAACAAGACCGAGGTGACAGACCAAGTGAAAGAGGAGGGAGGGAGGACGAATCAGAGATTCCTAACAGCAACGGGTGCAGTCCAGTACCTTTTGATCGGTACCTGAACTGAGATGAGAGAGCAATACCGGTAGTGGATGGATGGATGGATGGTGATGATGATGCCCAGTCAAGGCGAATTGGGTGTGGACGGGAATGGAATAACGTGGCCGGTCTACCACCGCTGGTGATGAATGAGTATTACCTTAGGTACCGACCTACCTGACAGAGTTGGTGTAGAGCTTTGAAGCTACTAACTAAGGTAGCTGAACCTGAAGGCTTACTGGATTTTGCAAATACCATCCATACCTTACTTACCTTCCACCAAACCCTAAATTTAACACAACGGACGGGACACAGTTCAACGGTCAATCAACAAGTATTATGGAGGTATTAACAATCACCCGCAGCAGCCCTTCACCAGAATACGCTTACCATGCATACCACCAGCCGCCATACTACGTAAATATGTAAAATACCTTAGTAGGTAGGTACGGAGTAGCTAGATAAGAAAAGAAGAAGGCCAAGCCCTGGAAGGGTTCCGTACCTGCTGGGATCAGGGGCAGAGACGAAACTCACGGGAGGCAGAGTGGAGCGACGCCGCCCAAAAACATGATCGTTGTTAGAGCGGGCTCCCACAGGTGCAATGACGATCAGCAACAACCCGGACGGGACTGTTAACGTTGTTGGGCCTGGCAGGCCTGTGTACATACAGTGCTAAGTAACAACCCTAACTCGTTATGAGACACTGGGATTTTGCGGGCGAGAAACAAAGGGCTCTGCAACGGCCCCCTGATTCCGATTAAGGTCAATCTTCTTTCACCACAAAAGACTCGAGGCTCAGTTCGTTTGCTTATTGCTTCTATAAGAAGTAATCCGAACGGCCAGTCGCTTCTTGAAATCATGTGGAACGAAGGCGTTGCAATTGCGGCGTTGGCGGGGTTTCTTTGACAGAGGCTTGTAGTCTAATTTGGTAGTGCAAACCTCTCATGCTTCTTCTGAGAAAAAGAAAATTTGGTTACTTGGACAAGAGGTTGATCATCCTCCAGTCGTCAGACCGCCAGACTCATGGTCGATCAGAGGGGATGATCTCAAGAGTTCTTCACATATTCATGAGCGTACGGAGTAGATAAACACACATGCAGCAAGTATGTAGTTGGATGGTTGGGCTGTGGGTGGGAGGACCCTGGTTCATAGTTGGTAAGGATTATAGATATGGCCAAATGCAAGGATGATTATGATTCTAAAAAAAAATAAAAATAAAAAAAAGACTCTGAGCAAAGTTCTGGTTGTTTGAGAACTCGGTCAGCTGAAGCATTCGTCCTCAATGATACAGCACTAAAAGCCGAGAATCTGTGACTTGTTAGGTGCCCAAGCTGAAGCCAAGTCACCAACGGTTATACCGACCTGCAACAGAAGTTAATAACAGAGCACATCCAACTTCCAAAACGACACGACAGGAGACAGGGGCAGTGGAGGGTTGCCACAGTTGCTCAGTGGTGGATGGTCTGGGTTTGGGGCGCCAAAATAGCCTCGTGCCTGACAAGGGGAGGGAAAAGATGCGAGGAAAAGAACTTGAGCATCCTTGTGTTCAACGGGTATCTTTGTACTACTAGATTTGATCAAGACAAAGTGGAGGCAGAGATATGTTATAATCAGAGGCGCGTTTCTTAGCGTAGGATACAACATCCCCTGCGAAATACAGTGCCTTCGTCCCGTTGTGATTTCCTTTTTCTGCTCCCCATCAAGAGGCCTGCATACCTAAGTTTTCTGTCAATCAACGCTTGTTGAGGGGCAACAAGAGACAAGGAACCCACCCTTGCGTGCCAAGTCAGGGGTATATTGGACCATCACCCGCTTCGGGCTAGACACAGGGCACAAGGCTCTACTAAAGTGCCTGCACCTGCTTATGCGGGCACTCATGGACGGCTTGCGGTGGATGCCCGCGTGCGTGAGATGGGTAACAATGGAGGGGAAAGAATTGGCTGTGGTTCAATATGTGTTGGCTATCGATATTACCTATTTTGATGATGATACAGATTGAACTTCACTTGTATTGCTGTAATGTCGCAAGATTGCCGCCGGGTCATTCGCAGATTGCTTTGAATAGGTAGCCAAACATGTCCGTCATTTTCTCTCTTTACGATGCACCACTAAATAGGCCCGTGTGACTGAGTGAGGTCATGACGCTCTAGCAAGCGGGTGAATCCACTGGTCGTGGAGAAATAAATAGAACCAAAGTAACTCCATCTACTCCGTACGGCCCTGCATTTGATTGACAATCTTCATTGCAATAGTATGTACTCAGCCCGTTTTTTATCAAGGAAAAGTTGCTCCTAAATGATCGTATCTATTCTCCAGCGATAAGGGGTTCAGAGCTACATTTTCACTGGTCTATGTACACTATCATCGTCGTTTTAGCGCCTATACACACATTCCAACTGCGGCATGTCTCGCATCACCTTGTCTCTCTTCACTCAGACCCATGTCTCTGGCGTGCTGTGCCTCATCTTTCCAGGTCCCCTTGCCTGCCATGCGAGTCTTCCCCTGTCAGTAACTGAATGTATCCCGAGTCTAACGGTACCTTATGTACTGGTACTGTACTCCGTACCTGGTTCTTGGCTCCCTAGGTAGCTCCCTGTCCTGTCGTGCGCGCAACGACTGCGGTGCGGTTTGGGGCGTTGTCGATCGCCGGCAGAGCAACCTGCGAATGCAACGATAAAAACGGCTTCAAAGTTTCGAAGATCACCATCTTGGGCATTATCGCAGTAGCAGACCCATTTGAAACGGCATGTTGTCACGCAAACTTGACGCTTGGCAGTCCGAAAGAAGACTTCTGATACACGGAGCTGGTCGGCGATCGTCAGAATCACATCCTTCTCATATCCATATTCATTTGTGGTTCTCGTCTATCGAGGAATCGCTAACGTTAACTATCTGCGAGACATGGCTGAATACAACAGCGAGTAGTTTTAACAAATACGCCAGTTATCACTCCACATTCTTGTCTTCACACGCCATTACCTTTCCCTTTCAATCAAAGCCGTTGCCATTGAATGATACTGGATTGCGTCGATGACATTGTGACAAGGCGGTTTCTCCAATGGCTAAGCTGATTCGAGGTCTAGACAACACCAGCCTTGACTCTAATGCTGATGGCTGGTCTACTTTGATGCTAACCGTCGTTTCTGCCAATCACCAAGCAACAGCTGGTTCAAGGCTAATAAGAGCTACCTGTCTCGACAGCCACTTCTTACATATCACTTGAGGCAAGGGATTGGAATGACAAGACAGAAAGCCGAACCCAACCGTTGAGCGGTTGTGCACTTACATGCAGGAGTACTACGTAGTTGGAACCTTGCATCTTCAGCTGATAGTTCAGCCTGCCTGATCCTAGAACTTTTGGGAAAAGAAAGCGGACGTCAAAGCGGGTGATACTGCATCGACTTATTATGTACTCCAACACGGTTCTTGGCCCATGCCTAAGCCGCAGCCTCTGGCTACTTAGGTTGGCAACGTATCCTCATATGCAGTTACAAGGCCCGAAGAAGGCTTGTAGAGCTAACATCTTAACATCGAGATATCTCCACTCTCAACCACAATGTCCGATGTTGAGATACTTAGGATTTCTGATCTCAACTCATGTCAAAATGCCTACCTATCACAGGTCAGGATCAGATACGAATTGTCTATCCACAATTCACCTTGAAATTGATCTCGAGGGCTAGCCCCTACGTGCTGTCACCATGTCACCTGTGCTCTCCAACCTTTCATGCTAGTTTCAAGAAGCTAATTCAGACACGAAATACTGGACTCTCTGTTCGCCCTGAATATGCCTATGTCTGAGATGCGGCATAGACTGCTAGCATGCATACAAAATGTTGTTCTGGTTCTACTCAGAGACAATACATAGTTACATACTGACTTAAGTAGCCCCGAGCGGATTGAGACGCAAGGAGATCCCTTGCATAGCAAACATCTCATCACGATCGAATGCCCACAGGTGATGTTTTTCCTCCATCTTCGTGTTGGCTCTCCATCCGGGGTTCCGGATGGGCCTGCCAACCCTTGATTAATTCTGAAACGAACACCCTTCTACCAACGGGACGAGCCTAGCCGCCTCCATTGTGAGTAAAAAGTACACATGAGTGTAACGTACGTGACCTTTATGCAAATACCCATGTACAGGCTCGGTTGATTCCGGTGTCAGGTCTGTAAACAATTATTATTGAAACTGTGGTCTGTGAGTCAAGACGTACTATATTTATCGTCCTGTGTTGGTGAGTCCCTACTCCCAGGATGGCAGTATAGGAGGTATAGCCATGACAGCAGGTTTATCCGTCACGTAATTAGCGTGTTAATATTGTTCGATAGCAAAGCAATAGATATCAACAGTCGTTAACGCAAGTTCCAAAGCCCAGACAAATGTAAAACGCAAGTTCAATTCAACATTCATGCGGTAGTGTTGTGGTACTGAATAGCGGATCTGGTCAAACACTACATCACTCGGACAGCGTTTCCCGATCGTCAAATACTCATATGTAACATATATCATGCACCACACTGTTCAATTGCATAGAAAATATTGTTTCAGATTCCCCTGATGACATCTTTTCTCTTACTGCATTGACGTTATATCATGCCAATCGCTCCGAGATATAGTCTCTTCGTTTCTCAGTTCCACGACAAGATCCCAACCAAAGTTGACTCCTTGCAAACAATAGTATCGTGAACAGCAGTTTTATGTCGACCATGTTCCTGGAACACTCCTGTGTCATCTATGTACCAGTCATTTGGCACATCTTCCATCAACAGCTTCCTTGTTCCCATCACTATAAGCACAGCCGTCACCTAGTCCGTCGAGTTCTCAGGGGGGAATGGTTGGACGTTGATGTCATGGCGTCGATAAAGAGCCGATTCTTCAGGGTTTCTCTTGTCCGGTAACTGTATCTCCCGAAGTATCTGGTAGAAGGAGTTTTCATAATCCTTCTTGAATATGAATCCGATGGCGGCATTGGACGCGAAATACTCGTGCTGCCTAATGTTGTCCAGTCTCTGGCTCTGGAGCACATAATACCCGTAAATCGGGTGTTTTCGGGGCATGTAAAGATGACCGCACATCCTTTTCGCATGTATCTGTACGAATAGGCCACTTTCTATGTGATTGCGGGTTCTGTTCGCTCGGCTGGTGAAGGAGCAATCTGCTCCCGCACATTCAGAATGAACCCTGAAATCGACAATGTAAACCACATGACAGTGGCTGCGCCAAGTTGGAGTCTGTGTAGGCCAATTTTCGAGCATAATGTGTGGCAGGTTTTCACTTGTGGCCTGTTGAGAAGAATCTGGTCCCTGAAGCAGGAGTTCCCCCAGAGTATCGTGTTCGTCAAATTTCGAATACCTGTCTTTCTCAGGCATGATTGATATGGCCGATAAAATCAAGTCACTCTGCTATCCTGAGCTTTTCTCGATTCTCAGTCAGATATCGTTGTATGGCTTTTCGAATAAATTGTTTGGGGAAGATCAGCCGCCTGCAGTAGGAAAGATGGTAGTATCGAGTGCCGATAAGACGCAAATACATCCGCCTAAGAAATATTAGACGTTGATATAGGTATTCTTTCTTGAATTATAAGGGTTTAGAAATCTCTATGCGTGGGAGCGCTGTTCTCCTCCGCCGTGGGCAGTAACGAATACAGGCAGGTGTGGGCAAACTGATTGATAGAATGGAATGGAAGGCACACTGCAGGTATACAGCAGCACCGTTTGAGCAGCTGCATATTCCTTCTTCATCGGGGCTATCTTCAAAGGTACCTCAAGTTAGGTACTAAGGTAGAAACAACAATAGGAACCCTTACAGTGGTCAATAGGATGATCTCTTTATTACAGGTACCTATTCACCAGACACTCCTTGCCAGCAACTTATTTCAAATACCTAGTAGGTAAGTAGGTAGCCAGTATTAAGAAGACTCTACCTATATGCATAGGTAGGTACCATATTGATCTATACGCTAGATGTCTTCCCTGTCCACGGTCTAATCATTTCTAGCAAAAAGAATTAATACCTTCCTTACAGCATAGGTTAGGTACCTACATAATAGCTACAGGTAGGAATTCGTCGATAGAGGTCATTCGTCAGCGAGGCCACCTGCGGATATGTGCAGCTTATTGTCCCGGGGCAAACAGTATAAAGCAATTGTTGAAGAGTAAATCTGTATGTGTAACAAACCTTATCATTGTTTTTAGTCCATTTTACTGGTGTGTAACACGATTATGATTTTCGCACACAAAAAGCATACGCGATGAGCCGGTACATCAGCTTTCAACAATTGAGCTCCACTGCGCTAAGGAGCTCAACGTGATGTCATTTGTACCGCAGCTGTCCCAAGCTTCAACCTCACCGCGAATCAACTGGCAATCCAAGAAGCAATTGACCACGCGTGCCTGTTAGAAATAGCATAAACGCTTCACACTTTATCTGAACAGCCTTCGGCAATGTCCTTCAAAGCTCCTATCCGACGTATCGCCCTCGCCAGGCCTGCTTTGGCTGCGCGAGGCTTCCACTCTACCCCTCGTGCTTTTGTCCGCGTTGGTCAAGAGATTCCTAACCTTGACGTCCTTCTGGAGGACTCGCCCGGTAACAAGGTCAATCTCGCGGAGGAGTTCAAGTCGGCCAATGGATACATCGTTGGCGTTCCTGCTGCCTTCTCCGGAACGTGCTCCAGCAAGCACATTCCCTCTTACATCAACCACCCCAAGCTCAAGCAGGCTGGCCAGGTCTTTGTTGTATCTGTCAATGATCCATTTGTGTAAGTTTATCAATCATGAACCATCGTATGTAATGATGATCTGGCATGTTTCTGACTGTGTTGCAGCATGAAGGCTTGGAGTGAGCAGCTCGACCCCGCCAAGCAGACCGGTGTGAGTAAACATTTTTAACACGAAACTCCCCTCGTTCAATGTTCCAGGCTATTCCTCTAACTTCTCTCAGATCCGATTCCTTGGCGACCCTACTGGTGAGTTCACTAAGGCTCTAGACCTTGGCTTCGAGGCATACGAGGTATTTGGCGGTATGCGAGGAAAGCGATATGCCCTCAAGGTGGAGGATGGCAAGGTCAGCAAGGCATATGTGGAGCCTGACAATACTGGAAGCGCTGGTAAGTAACATCCTAGGATCGTTTATCATGTTATGTTGGCTAACATCAAGTCTACTAGTCTCCATGGCGGAGCAAGTGCTCGACTAGATTTGTCTATCTCTATAAATTGGGATAGAGTGTCCCCTTGGCGTTATCTCAAACACCCTGAGAGCATCTCTTGATCCAAATATATCACTTCAGTACTCATAGTACTTTATATTTCACTCGTCCAAATTCTTTGTGGCCTTGACCATCCCTGTTGTCGTCATGACCTGCTCGTCTAATCATCTCGATCTGCACAAATAACGACCTCTTAGCAAAATCCTTCCTTAATCTTGACGCATATCGATTCAACATGAACAAAAGAGCACAGACTACCCTTGATGAGACCTTGTGAGTGTTTTGTTTCTAGTGTAATAATACTTTCCCTGTGAGATAGGCTTCCAGATTAGCGAGTCATCGCTTCCAACTCTTTCGACAACATTGCCATCGGCTCCATGATCATCGTGCGTCTCGATTCTTTTACACCTATAACTTTGAACCCCATCTGGTAAGCAGATTAAGTTAGCCAGTGTCGGTACTATTCATTTATTATCATAGTTTTATCCCCCGCTCACCTCTCACCTATGCAAACCTTGGCTGGTTCGTAAGGCTCACGTCCACTCGTTTGATCTGAGCCTTCTGTCCTTGATTCAGATATATTGCGAGGAAGACCTGGTGGGGGAGGGGGGGGTTAATTGTTGCACTTGTCCAGTGATACGACGGCATGAGGAGGTGCACACCTTCAAGCGCAGTCCTGGGATATCACGGGTTTCAGCTGCTGGACAAAAGTTACTTATCCTCCCGCAACTATTGCCCACTGAATGTTTTCACTATCGTACATTTCTGGCTAAGGTGATACCATTTTTGTCGAGGCCATTGCTGGCCAGAGCCAGCCCATGGGTTAACGGCCATAACTCGGCGTATTGAAACTCTTACCAGTGGATGATCCCAGCTATTCTCGCGTGTCTCTTCAGTTGGCTTGCCATTCGCAGCGAGTCGCCTTTGGCACTGCCAACGATATCACGACGCATGCAGCTCTACATACCCGGCAGCATTATACAGCTCCAATGTGGTTGCTCTAACGATATTTCTAATGACACATTTCTCAGTTAACGACAACTGGTTGATTACAGTCCGCGTAGACATCTGGTTCAGGGAGTGATAGGCCGTTGCTACTACCCTATAGTTGCTACACGACCAAACATGACTCTCCTTTGCACTCGATAGTGCCTTTCTCATATTATAGTCCTCAGTCAACAAAACATACGATAATGCTTATTAGTTTGTGTATACTACTGATGTATAAAATTGTGGTTTCCGTGAGCAGAATATATCAACCACATCGACCTAACTAAGTTTGTACAGGTTTCAAGTCCCTGATGACATTGTGGTGTGCTGTACCTGAGGTACTGCAGAAGCCAACATCGAACAGAAAAAACACTACATTGAAAACAATTAGAAACACAGACTTCACTAATACCCTACGCTATGGAAGTAGCGACTGTATTAATCTGGTGGCAGATTCTCAGTGTTCAAAAGACATAAGTTTTGATCCTGACAAATGACGTTGGCGTATGGATAGACAGACCAGCATCACATCACTACGTGCCTTATCACTAGACATATCATCAGACCGGACAGGAAACGCTTGTCAACTCGATAGCCGAAACGCCCCATCAAAAGTAGGATAAGGACAGCGGCATGTTACTCAGACTATCCGTACTCTGTAGCTGTATAGCTGAGCCTGCAGACAAAAGAATGCCTTCCAAACAGGGACTCGACCGCCTTGGACCGAGATGATGATCGCCGTTCCGCCGTGTCCAAGCTTGGAATGGAGAGCTCTTTAAAGAACATAACGGCGACAAATGAGAATCCATCGCAAGGGCTTGGGCTTGTCACCCCAAATGAGCTGAAACTATGGATACCTATACAAGGGCGAAAGAAAGGCTAACGAGGAGGGTCTGGGACGCGTCTGGAACGCGATATCGTGAGCAGCCTTGTTGAGTGGTGAATTAAGCGCGCAACAAGGGTATTGGAGGAAATGCAACAAATGATTAACTACGAATCAAAACTCAACAATGAACCAAAGATGCCCGGATATGTGACGGCCGCGTGTGACCGGGCCTAATTTCGATATGATGAACCTAGAATAGTTGCATAGTAAGTGCTAATGCTGGAGCCCAGAGGCATGAATCATATCGATATAATTACGGCTGAGGTGATAAACGGATATTGAAATGTGACATGGGCGGGCGGCGGCCGCGACATGACGAAACAAACAACTTACCCTTTATTCAAGACATGGCTCTTTGAGCTACGAATATCGTCACTCGATCGATGTGTTCACTGGATGGTGTAATCAGGTAGACTTTGCAGCAAGTGGGCTGATGGCCACAGCCGTTAATTACAAGTAAGGCGTCACAGCTATAGCCTATTCCACACTGACACCGAGATAAAGGCAAGGCGGACAGACCGAATCCAAGCATGCAGTCAGTCCATCGGGCTCTGTCACTAGATACCTAGATGCGCTGTTGCCCAAGACAGTCACTTCTCAACAGGTATGTGTTTGCGCAAAACATGGCTGCCGATATTGGGCTGTTATACATGCATGCAGTCCGAGATCATGAGGCGGCCACATGCATTGATGTTGTGATATGGGATGATTGGGAGATATCAAACCAAGGCGCTGATATTCCATCACTCCCCAGAATCACATGTAGTAGAATAACAACATGCGTCATGGCTTGCTATGTACCTATTGTTTATATCTGAAAACCCAAATCTGATGTCAAATCCAATCGGAACATTATCGATCCATGGTAACCAATTGATACTGAAGCCTCAGTTTTGTAACCTTGCATCGCTCTGCAGACGAAGAAGAGAAGGGAAAAGATGACGGATATCTACCCAACCACACCAACTCAAGGTACCTAGCCGCAGACTATGTACTAAGGTAAGCTGTGACAAGTGGCCAACCACGCACATGCGTCCGTAACAGCACAGAGTAGGCCAAGACATGGGGGGATACACACACCACCACCACGCGGTTACGCCCCCACCACTTTAGCAGACGACGTGCGATCTCGAGACAAGTAGATACATAGTTAGTGCACGTACAGGCTATAGCTGGGAAGCAATATGACAATGCACTTGAGCAGTGAGTGAGTGCATTTCATTAATGCGATGCGATGCGATGCGGTGCGTGAGATCGAGCACAGCCGACAACGCACCAATGCTGTAACCCCCATATCTGAGACTGACACGAAATTTGACTTCCTGTTCGGCAAAATACCGTTGCAACTTTGCGTCGTCGTCTCAGGATACGATGGCATTACATCGGCCCTCGAAGCAAAAAGACACACACAACAGCATCATGGAGCAAGAAAACCTCCAGCTCTGGAGCAAAAGGACAAAAATGTTTAATCCGAAGGCTTACTGAGTGTGTAACAAAGTTACCTGAGTCCTTTGGTTACTGGCGATAGAGGTCTCAAAGTTTTCTTGACTACCTACCTTATCTAGGTACCTACCTACCCTTGAATAAGGCGTGTAGATGTCAATTGAAGGTACGCGCCGCGTCCGCGTGCAACAGGAACACAAAGAGCTCCTCTCCTCGTCCACATGCGGAGCCTACGTTAGGACGTCCCGCATATTCCCCCATTGGGGTGCAACGACCGTGCTACCATTACCGCGATCCACAAGCCAAGGATCCACGGCCACTCACCGACTCCGTAGCTCTTACGTACGAACTGCTGCAGCCAGTTTGAGACATTCAAGACTGAGCCCGGTGTGTTTAATGAGGTGAAAAGCTAGAGGTACAGGGCTGACAGTGACGGGGGACGAGAGGATCAATGTACAGAGGTATTCGCTCTGGTCTCAGGATGGAACAGACAGGGCCTCGTATTGTGATTGCGTCCCTTTTAGATCCAGGCCTGCACTCGTACAAGAGACGGACGGGTACCGTAGCACGTCCAAGGGATCCTGCACGTGGATCTTTGTCCTGTGGAGCTACGCTTCAGAGCTCTTCGCAACTACTGTACAAACAGGCAAAGGAACACCGCTGATGGAATGAGAATAAAGCCAAGTTTGATAACTTTCTACAACGAGGCTGGGAATGTCTCTAATTCCCCATACGGCCAGTGAAGAAGAGGTCCGAATCACTGGATCCAGGCTGTGAGCGAGTGCCAATAATATCACACCGACATTTGCCAATCGTTTACATCAATTCAAGGTTGCCATGATCCCTTCAGCCAGCTTCGTTTCACTGCATTGCATGTGACCAAGAAGAGGCAAATCGTTTCGTCACGTGTCCATACCTTGGGTTTTAGATACTTTAGGTTAGGTACTGTGAAGCTGAGATGTTATTGCTTCAATGCCTGAGCTTTGGAAAGAATCATCCCGATGAAGCTGGAGATGTTTGAGGCCTACCCACTGACATCAATATACAGCCCTGTTACGGTGGCATATCGATAGCGTATCGATTAGACAGGCATGGGCACCAACTAACTACCTACCTTAAGGTAGCCAGCAAAATGCCTTACCTTGCTTTGGTGACCGCTCTTCGTGAGTCAAAGCAGGCTGCCTCTTTGTGAATATGACAGAAGCTCATCAAGAACTTTGCAGCTTTGAAAAGCGCCTTGTGCCCCGTTATGCCGGCCGTCGGGATGTGAACAACTCGGGGCTAATTTTAGTCCAAGCCGGATTGCCAGCTCATCCACACACCATCCAACCCGGACAATGATCGGCCGACGAGAAAGAAAGAGAGGGGTGAGAAACACGGTTTGTGTTTCGACCGCGATTTGTGTCGTCACTCTGTGACGGCTCGCAACAACTTGTTTGCTCGTTGAGGCTGAAGTTGCGAGAGAGAAGAGGTAGCAAAGTATTGGGATACAAGATCTAGAGAGAAGCGGTCTAGAAAAGAATGATAGAAACGAGAAGCTGGAGGCCCAGCACCTGGAAGCACAGTACTCCGTAAGATACTTGTAATCATCTTCTATCCCACCACCTCCCCATTCCTCCAACAAAGCAAGTTTACCTGTGCCAATGCTTAATCGACCTCACAGCGGGGTTTGTCGAAGAATCAGATAAAGAAGTTTGATCTTTTGGGGTTTGACAACTCGGAACACCGGAATAGAGGTGGTCAATGCCGAGCTGTGACTGTGATGGCTATGACAGCTGTCATCATATCGACTGACTTCGACGAGTCCCATGAAAGCTTCAGCAAGGTCACCTCTTCCTTGACTTCTATTTCCCTATTTGTAAATGTTCCCCAATGGACCGACTGAACGAGACGAGACAAATGTAGGTACGTACATCGTAAATATCTTCGACGGGAAAGTTCAGGCTGGGATTTGGATTCACACCCTAACAGCCCAGCCACCGCAATGGCAAAATAGACACCCCCACCTAAGTGGATCCATACAAACACAGACACCTCACCAGGCAGCCAGGGTTAAAAAAGAGAGGAAGGTGCGCTCCTTGCGTCACAGTCTCTCTCCCAATCAAAACCTGACGCGGCTGGAGACCCACATTCGGAGCTGATTCATCCAGTCAAAGGAAGTCGTAATAACAGACTGGATCCCGCCCCTCAAATCATCTCGTCGCATTTTCCCTCGTCCTCTCCTTCTTCACGGCCAATCAATCCTCCTGTTCTCGTCCACTCAACGAGCAATCAGAATCGCCTAAGGCCTCTCGAAACATTTGATTTGATTGACCTGTGTTCGCTACCCTTTATTCTCTGGCCATTCACAATTCACAAGCACTTCTTCCCTTGATTGGATCATACACGCGCGCAAGCCCAGCAATCGCTCCCGCCCGCGAACCACAGACAGCCAGCCCAGTAAACGCTCTGTGCTCTCGCAAGCCCAGTCAAGTTCTGCTATTCGCTCAGCGCCCGCCTTATCACCCCAAAGGGCAACACATAACACGGCAGAGCATTAGTCGAAGATCAGTTCTTACCATCACATCTATTCGCTCTGTGTTCTCTTGCAAAGATCTTGTTGCAACGCCACTCGATAACGCGTCAAGTACTGAACAATTCTTCATTGATCTTTCACGCGGTCATCGAATAGTAACGCGACGAGGACGTATTTCCTCGACACTTAGTGATCAGACTGGATTCTTAGTGGAGAATGGACTACAGTCAATACCAGCAAGGCCAAAATACACATCCCGGTTACGCGAACTCTGCTACTGCTAATAACATCGCTTCACCAACGAATACTATTCCCCAGCACACGGTACAATCCTCACCTGTCATCGCTTCTCAACAGCAGCAAACTCAACCACAAGGACACAACATGTACGGACCACAATACGGAGTGGCACAACAGGGCATGCACTATGCGATGCCTGGTATACAGGCCGCCGCGTTGGCAGCAACCGCCGCTGCTTCTGGCACGAACTATGGCTATATGTCCTCAGATCCCAATATTCCTCAAAGTTCGCCTCGGATGAGTGCCAATGCCAAAAAGGACGGACGACAATCGCCTCGAATGAACAGCATGTCCCAAATACCCGGCCGCCGAATGAGCCAGGTCACGAGTCCCGGCGTCGCGACGGCGCCCATGATGAGCCATGCCGGTACTCGACCAGGCGTTGCCCCATCTCAGATGCCCGCTCCCCAGATGCAGCACCCACAATCCCCGGAAATGCCAGCCGCGAGTGGCGCAGAGGAGTCGCCACTTTATGTGAATGCTAAGCAATTCCATCGTATTCTCAAGCGTCGTGTTGCTCGACAGAAACTTGAAGAACAGCTCCGACTGACGTCCAAAGGACGCAAGCCATATCTTCACGAGTCACGCCATAATCATGCAATGCGCAGACCTCGCGGCCCTGGTGGACGTTTCCTCACTGCCGAGGAGGTGGCAGCAATGGACCGCGAAGGTGAAAAGAGTGTCGATGGCAAAGATAATTCTGCCGGGGAAAGCTCTGGCACTACAGGAACAAAGCGCAAGTCTGAAGCCGGCTCAGCCACCTCAAACAAGAAAGCTAAGACGGACACAGCAAGCCCAGGGGATGAAGATGAGGATGAGGGTTGATCTTGCAAATAAGCTGTATCACCTTCTCTCTAATTTTTCAGCCTACCAGCGGTTTACGACGTCACGAAAGCACGATTGTTTCTTCTTTTCATCGCCATGCTGCCTGCAACGGCCTGAATGGTTCCAAACAGAGCGAGCATTTCTTTTTGATCGGATGAGGTATCTACAGTTATTGGCGGGTTGATGATATCGGCACCTTCGTTTATGTGTTGCGGCGGCTTGTACCGTTCAAACACCATCCGGCACGGCGTCCTTTCTTGACGGGTTTTATTTTAATACAGCACTTCACTGGCAACAGCAGATCATCCAGGGTTTGGAAGGGTGTCGCCTTTAGGGATAACGGATGGACAGAACGGATGGACGATTCGTTACGATGGATACCCCGCTTGATTATATCGTTCGATCTTTTCTCCCGCGTCTGCTGTCTCACTTCCTAGCGTTCTGTTGCATACGCCAGCATGGAACTGGTCCCTGGCAAACGTCGGTCTGGCTACCGAACAATAAGCCACACTCACTGCGCTCACGATTCAGAACTGATCATCTCATACAAGTGAGATTAGACGACGAATGGGAAAATCGGATTCAGAAAAGAAAAAAGAAAGAAAACGTAAAGGGAACTCAGATGGACAAGATACTGTGTTACTTACTGACTTATCAAGTGGTTTGGTCAACTTCTCACCATTGAATGAGGTCCTCAAAGGGGTGTATAGGTTTAGAGTCAGCGATGATGGTCCGGCGTTGGATCTGAAGTATAGGAGAAACGTGTTTAAGGATTAAAGCTTGTAAATGTTTGTTTTAAATTTGATGACTCATGTGTCAGAATTGCTGTCATGATAGTGTTCTCTCGCAATGTTTTTGATCACCATTCATAATCTCACAATGCTGTCTCCGTCACTGGTGACTTGAGAGACTGGCATCAACGAACGTGTATCAGTTCTCAGAGCACGAGGCTTGAACAATTGAGCTTCTTTAGCAGAAAAAGCATACATTCGAAACTAAGTATCGACAATGGAACGGGGTTAATCTGATAACTTTCGTATATATACATGATCGTAGATACCTATATCTCTTGCCATCATATCTCATAATTCGTAACCATAATTCGTAATCGTATCAAGTCACAATGATACTGAACATCGTTGTCCTGCGAGAAAGCGAGAACGCCCCGAAGCTGTGATTGTTATACAAATGGGAAGCCGTTTACCTCGCAATGAGGACCATAAACTTAACTAAACACCCCCGAAATCATCCCTCTCGACTTTCTGTGCTGACCTCTTGGTCCAAAGTCTGGCTGCAATCCTCTCGAGAAATGCACCACTACCTCGTCTCACCCTGGCCGCTGAGATATTATCAGCGACATCTGTGATCTCTCGAGGCCGGCCCCGAGCTTGGGTCATGAGACGAACAGGTGCACTGCCAATGGCACCAAGCTTGCGCAGTAGGACACCAAATGATCGTGTTTGGAGGAAGGTCACGAGAAGCATGAAGGGGACACAGACGAGGATCATGGTCAGAGGAAATCGCCAGTCGGTTGCAGGGACTGTAAAGACCGTCATACCGAAGACAGACTGGTTGTTGTTAGTGGAGGCTTGTAGATATAGCACTTTGCTAACGTACCGTGACAAAAGTAAGTGGTAAAAAGATCATACTGATCATTGTGAGGACTTTAATGTTGTCGCCCTGTTCAATAGCTCTCCGGCTTTCCTTGATGGAGCTTCCACTGAAGAGCTGATCTCGCAGGTTTTCGATCTCCTTACGGGTTCGTTCGTTGCGTTTGAGAACCTCCGTAAGCTCTTGGACGACTTTGTCAAGCTCACAGCGCAGTTTAGCCATGTGCTTACTATAGGCAATCCCATCAGGCGAATCAGCTGCGTGATGCGGCCATAGAATCGGGTGGGTGCCGGCCCAGAAGCTGTCGGTAAATGTGTCGATATATGCCGCGATCATTGACTTGATACCCGTGTTCACAACAGCAAGGGTGTTGTACGCCCAGAAGTACCTTCGGATGTAGGTGAAGTGCTTGTCCTCGAATAACAGTTTGTCTCTGAGTTTAGGGTCAAACATGAATTCGGTCTGGAGATGATTAGCATAGCATTGAGATATGGGGGTCTGGTGAACGTACCGGGGGAGTGATGAGCTTGGTGACTCGCTCATGGAGGATTAGGTTTCGCTTTGTAGCATCACGGTACTCGGAGATGAGTAGGTCCAGAAACGCATATGGTCCATTGACATATTTCTTCTCCTGGAACTCCGGACCACGGACAGTATGAGAGTTATCAGGAAAACTCTGGATAGCAAGTAACTGCCATGGACCAAATGTATCGAATAGAACCCCTTCTCGAGCACGCTCTCTTCTCGAACGCATAGGGGGAGCTTTGTGAGAGTCTCCGCCGAGTGATAGAGCCAATACAGAGCCGCATTCAGCGATATCAATATGATCTCCGAGGCGACTTTCTGAAGGTCTTTTATCGAAACGCTGCCAAGGAGCTGGCTCGAGAGGGTGACTGACAACTGTGTAGTACTTGAATACAAAGAAGAAAGACCTCTGACGAACGTTGGGTGTAGGAGGGGTTGGTGACACCGACAGCCTGGCAGTGAGCGGGACGGGCGATGATGGGACAACGATGGGCGAGTGAGAAGTTGCTTGGGAGGGGGGCCTCTCGTAGGCTCTAGTCATGAATGCATGGGTACGGCCACGGTTAGGCTCATCAGAGAGGAGATGAGTGAGCAGCTCATTCATATCAAAGTGTGACGACATGGTCCAGTGAAGTGCAGCGAGGATAAGAGGTGTAGGCTCTTGGACGATGCTACAAAATGTTAGTCCGACCTGATGGTGTTGTATGATGAAGACGTACGTGATTCGGCCTGTAGACGTGCCAATTTGGTTGACAGCCCTGATTGTTTCCCAAACCGTAGGGGCGTCGACATTATCAGCCGGAATCTCGTAGGGGCCCTCGCCCGTATACTTGACATCTGACTGCGCGTCTCCATCTCCGTCAGCGCTGAGTTTGGTGAGTTTGCAGTTATGGCCAACCTCGTACACTTCAAATGTAGACTGACTATACTGCTCTCTCTCATACGCCGCAAATTCACGGAAGGGTACATCTATATCAATCTCGGAACGTCGTTTCATGATATCGTCCAGAAAGGGTGCCATTTCGGGGGTGAAATCTTCGATTTTCAGATGCTGGAGGAGTTGGCTATCGGCCCAGTCTTCCTGGCCGAGATGATCCCTGACAATGTTATGGGGATAGTCCTCAACCTCTCGCGTTGTGGTAGTAGCTGTCGTGTTATCCAGGAGAGGGAGAGGGATGAAGGAAACATCTTCGTCCTGCGCAAAGACAACGCGATGACTGCCACTTGGCGAACCAGTAAAGTGCTGAGGCTCAGCAGACAAAGATGTTCTTTCTTTTGCGCTCTCAAGAGTTGCGGCCCGCCCTCGCCGGAAGATAGGAGACAAAGAGCCCTCTGTTGCGAATGTTGGGCCCGTGGAAGCTCTCAAGGGTGGTGTGAATGGACCGTAGGGCTCAGGCATGGAGATGCTACTGCGAGCATGGCTTTCTGCTGTGTCTCGTCGACGAGCGACGAGGCCATCTTGAAGGGTTGTCAGAGCGTGTAGATATTGTTCGCGAAAGTTGTCGGTTGCTCTGACAAGATCATCTAGAGCCTGAGAGGAAGTGTTTGTAGTCATTGATGAGCTTCACGTCACTTGGCTTGAAAATGGAAATATTCACATGATATTCTAATACTATAAAAGTCGCTGTCAAGAAAGGAGATGGAGGTGGAAGGTCGAGGGGTATTTCTATTCTTCCAGACTCGAGCCTGATTGCAAGTCATCGGCGGACCCCGATGAATGTTGCGGCTGGGTCATGCTCGGTCAACATCCATGGTTATAAGGTTGAATAAGCAAAAGGAGGGATGGTTGTGAGAGGGAAAGGTAGGGCAAACGAAAGATCCTTGAGTGAAGCAAGATAAGCTATGTCAAGTTCTTAGTGCGCCCAAGTGACGCGGGCACTAACGATGACTCCGAGGACCAACAAATATTCGTCCACATGTCACGCATCCCCAGTCACTGGCATCCGAGACAACCTAAGGTACAGCTTTCAACCTTCTCTAAAGGGTAAACCAGAAAGGTAGCGAGTAGTCTGAATAGATCACAACTTGTTATGGGTGATGTTCTTCTCAGTGTGCCTTTGATCTGAATGTCCATACTATGGTTCTCATGAGCACCCATTGCAACACCTACCATTGTACACTAATGGATAACTTCTCATGTCGGCAATTTGCGTATGTATACGGATATACACACCATTGCTTCATGATAGATAGGGCTGCCAAGGGCTCGCAAGCCTCACTTGACCCAAGTCTTTGCCGAAATCCAATTCTTGATTTGATATGGAGTGAGAGACCAGCCGGGGAATGGAGGGATCATTCCCATAGGACTCTGATAACGAGGCTGTACTGGAAAAAGGCGTTTTGTCGGTCACCAACTCAGTTTGACGTTCGCTTGAACACGGCCTCTAGCGGTTGTCAACGGAACGCCATGATGGCGGCGATGCGGAATTGGATATAAGGCATCTGCTTACTCTAGAAAATTGCCTGTAGTCTAGTATCTGTCTCTAACATTCTACGTCATGCAGCCATCTCCTCTCACAAACCGGGCGACCCTGAGCGCGGATGACTGAGAGGGTGTACTATATTGCGGGGGTTAGAGTTTCACAGCATCCACGTGCCGAAATTCATCGTCAGAACCTTAGATTATCGCTGATCAACATGGTGTTGAGCAAATGCAATTACGTTTGTCATGTGCAATTGACCAGTCGTCGACTACTACCAGGCGTGTACTGCTTCCTACTACTGCACTGTTTATTTGAGCCTCACTATGCATATGCCCTGGCTGAAATACAACTGACAGCTGCATGTCTTGCAATAATAGGGTTTAGTTTCATACTCCTACATGTCCAAGCGATAGCCTAATGTATCCTCTCGACTACCTATCTTCCTTGGCTCTATACCCAACCCGCCCGCCTGATATCATTCCCTTTCATGTCTTCATAACTCTATAAAACAAACAAGTACCAGCTAGCGTATTAAGACCTCTCAGTAGCATTCATTGTCCAATGCCTCGTTCGCATCGCAGCCATATCACACGCAAATATCCTTGTTGGAGTGCTTAGGAAGCGACACTCACGGGCTTGGCGGCTGATGCGGCGGGCTTCTCAGCACTGTCAACCTCCATGGCATCACCATCGGCCTCAGCCTCAGCATCGCCTTCTCCTTCCTCTTCCTCCTCAAGCTCCTCCTCACTCTCGCCCTCGATGTCGACACTGCCGTCATCGGACAGCTCCTCCTCATCCTGAGCGTTCTCTCCTTCGTTCTCCACACCAGCCATCTCCGAATCCTCTCCGTTGCTGGCCTTGGCCTTGGAGCTAGCCTCAGCCTCGTCAGCTTCAGCGGCTTCCTCCTCGTCGGCCTCTTCAGCACCGTATTCGTCGCCGTCGGCGACAAGATCAGCCTCGGGTTGCTCAGGGGGATACTCAGGGGGGGCAGATGCCTCGGAATCCCTGGAGTCGTGTTAGCTTGAATACATTATCGCTTGCTGATTTGTCGACTTACCACTTGATGGCAAACCGAGTCACTCGGGGCTTCTCAGCCAATACATTGCGCTTTACACGCTCAATAATGGGCTTAGCTGGGGGCTCAGCGTTGAGCTCCTCCGAGTCATATTCGTTGTTGACGTAGTAACCGACGCGAATAAACTCACGTCCATCGTAGGCGCATGTTAGGAGAATGACGGTAACACCGAGAATCTCTGCATCGGGAATCCGGGCGGTTTTGGGAGCATCGGCCTCGAAAATGAATTTGTTGACACCAACGGGGATGGGACCGACGAGAAGGGAGTCGAGTTCTTGGTCGTACTGGTCACTGAGAAGTGTTAGAAGAAGCGGTGTAAGGAGGGGCCTCAATCAAGCTGGTCCATACCTGGTAGCGGATCCAACGTAAGTGAGCTTCCATTCGAGATCTGTCCCATATTAGCGTTGTGGTTTTTTACCCTGCAGTTGACCAAAGTTGCACGAACCCTTCTCTAGCGGCTCGAGGCATTCGAAAGTAATCTCAAACTCGTACTTGTCGGTGAACTTGGCTGGGTTGTTCAGGACATTAACGCCCAAAAGCGAAACGACAGACATTTTGATGAAGATGGGGGGTGTATGAACTGAGTAGGTCGTGATCAGGAGCACACTGCAGTGGCAAAAATCGAGGTTTTGAAGGAAAAGGGTGAAAAAGAACGAGAGCACGAGTGTCTGGTTCTTTACGATGTGTGAAAGTTGATGTGGGGAGAAGCGCGATGTGAGATGCAAGACGCAAGAGAAGAGAGAAGAAGAGAGGAATAGAAACTGGGTGGATGTAGTAGTAGTAGTTGTTTGATAAAAAGCGTCGTACTAGTCTTAATAGCAGTACGGAGTATGCGAGCATGGGTAAAAGAAAACAAGAGCGGATCGATTTCTGGTTGCGACGGGAGATGACCTGCCCTGGGCGTCAAGGTCCAAAATGTGAGGAGCGACAGTGGGACGCGTTAGCGGTCATACCCGCGTAGAGAGGTTGCGTTGGGGACGCGACCTCCCTGAATGGAATCCCAGGAACTCATCTCAGTCAGGTGACCTTGACAACGATTGTTTGTGCGGGCATTGTCCAAAGCCCAACCAACAGGGCAGTCTTTGAATACTATCTCTTCTTTTGAGTAGGCGGTTTTATGGTTATAAATATGAGAACCTGAGTTTATACGAACAGGGCGATCTGTCAATTTTTCTGAAAACATACTCATACACAGTGCTATCCATTCTCATACTTGTATGTATTTCTTTTAAATACCTCCCATCAAAAAAGCCTGTCCATCCACCCATTCTCTCTAAAGGTAGTAGTGACCCACTAAAGTGCGGCTCTTGAATACCAAGTTCGTTCACCGCCTTAGACGCTCTAAGCCCAACCTGGGTTCTGCCGAAACTGCTTTGTTCAAGATTACTGTTCTTTGTTGGAGCTATCAGACTTTGAGGCGCTCGACCAAAACCATCCACGCGCAGCTCGACGCACGACCATTTCCCCCAACCCGGATCGATTGCACGCCTGTCTTTGTATCGCTGTCTTCGATTTTCTCTTTAGGCGCTGAATTCAGACATATATCATCCGGAGCCAGCTGGCGCAGCTCCTGGAGCTTGCCTCGTTCGCGACAGACTCTACTGCTTGTTCGTCTCGTATCATCAAGGATTGAATCCGGGCCCATCGCATCCCTTCAATCGAGATACCCGTGACTCTATCGAGTAGCGACCGCTTACGTACTCTCAATTCTGACCTCCCGATTGCCGTTCGCGACTTGGACATCATCTTCTGATTTCACAGGTCTTCGCTGACGCGCCTTTCGAAATCGCTTGCTTCTTGATCGAGACTTGGCAGCACGGCCTGTTTTTAAAATTGCAGGATGGCTTCCGAAGATGCTTCGTGGGGAGGAGAGGATACTAGCGCGCCGGGTTTTCAAGTTCAGCATAGCGAGGAACAAGTTGATAACTACGCTCAAGACTCTCCTGCTTCTGGTGACGCTGATACCGCAGATAATGGTACAGAAGATGATGGGGGAGAATATGATCCAGAGTCAGTCACCATCGGTACACCTGCGCCAGTTACTGAACAATCTGCGACGACTGCTCAACGTCAACCTTCCAAGCCCAAGATGTCAGGGGGCTTTATTGTTGAAGCCTCCGATGACGAAGATGAGAACGAAGATGAAGCTGACCAGCCTTCCAATACTGCTCCTCAATCGGAAGAAGTGCCCTCGCTCCCTCATCCTGGCCGTTCCACTACATCTCATGAACCTGCTCAGCCAGCTCTAACCTATACACCTGTTCCTCCTGCTGTCCCTTCCAATGTGACTCCAGCTTTGGCTGGTCTCGACCCTGTTGCTCTCCTCGAGGCCCGTGTTAAAGAGGATCCTCGTGGGGATATGGATGCTTGGCTTAACTTGATCGCCGACCATAGACGCTTGAGCCGACTTGATCTTGCTCGAAGTACCTATAATCGTTTTCTCGAGATATTTCCACAAGCTGTGAGTGAACCTCATTTCTTCCAGTAATATATATTGACAACATCTACCAGGCTGACGTCTGGGTCGAATGGATCGAGATGGAGCTTGGTCTCGACAACTTTGTCGATGCTGAACAGCTTTTTGGAAGATGTCTTATGACCGTACCCAATGTCAAGCTGTGGACAGTCTATCTCAACTATATTCGCCGTCGCAACGATCTCAACAATGATCCTTCTGGTCAAGCCCGCCGAACTATTACCCAGTCCTATGAGTTTGTCATCGACAACATTGGTGTGGATCGAGATTCTGGCAATATCTGGCAAGATTATGTCCAGTTCGTCAAAAACGGCCCCGGCCAGATCGGTGGTACAGGTTGGCAGGACCAGCAAAAGATGGACCAATTGCGCAAAGTATATCAACGCGCTATTTCCGTGCCCATGTTGACCGTCAACAATCTCTGGAAGGAGTACGACCAGTTCGAGATGGGACTGAATAAGATGACTGTATGCTTTACTCCTTTGCCTACAACAGCATAAACGCTAACATTATTAGGGACGCAAATTCATACAAGAGCGCTCTCCAGGCTATATGTCCGCCAAGAGTGCCAATATTGCTTT